ATATATATATATATATATATATATATATATATACACACATACATACATACATACATACATACATACATACATACATACATACATACATACATACAAACAAACATACATCCAGGAGACATCAAATCCAATTCTCTCCCCTTACCTCCAAACTCCCGCAGACTATTTTCTTCTTCATGGCCAGTATCTTACCTATTAGGCAGAGTGAGGTAGTCAATCATTTTCAATATCATGAACAAGAAGCAAATGGCTAGCTATTCCTTTAATTATTAAAGAATTATTAGAGATGTATATAGGATTTTTCTGCCTCAGGGGCCCCGTGACCTGTCCCAGATGCTATTCAGAGCTGATCATAATATCTCAGACTACTCAAGTTACTTTTTAAACTTAAATCTCAGATCACTCTCTCTGCAATGGTGGGATTCAAATTTTTTTACTAACAGTTCTATGGGTGTGGCTTGGTGGGCATGGATTGGGAGGTGTGGCAGGGGAAGGACACTGTAAAATCTCCATTCCCTCCCGACTCCAGGGGAAGGTTACTGCAAAATCCCCATTTCCTCCTGATTAGTTGGGACTCAGGAGGCAGAACATAAATGGGGGTGGGGCCAGTCAGAGGTGGTATTTACTGGTTCTACCCAAAATTTCCGCTACCAGTTCTCCAGAACTGGTCAGAACCTGCTGAATACCACCTCTGTCTCTCTGTCTCTGAATTCAACTCTAATGATGGTAAAATAATATAACCATTTGCTCACTTGCTATTTAGTACAAAATCAGCAGCTGGCTTCAAACTAATGGTATAGAAGCAAGTCTATTTCAGACAACAAAATGTCTTGGGTCAATGCTCAGTTAAAACTGATGGCTGTGATGTGACATCTCTCTGCAGCTTTTTTTTTAAGTTATCTTGAAGAGAGTTCAATAAGTTCTTCCCACCTAGTAAACTAAATATGCCTTTCTTACCCTCTCTATTAAATTTCCTTACATCTTTGGTATCTATCCTGTTCATTGATTCCTGCCCATTCATAGCCTTTCAATTTTTTTGGTTCACACATTGTAGCCAGCCACAATGTACTACTTTCTTTCTAACAGTGTAATTTTTGAACCCACCCACTGTAACTTATTCAGAAAAAAAACATACTTTAAATTAAACCGTGGTTAAATAGTGTGAGCCCAATTTATATTTTTAATTATATTCATGAATGTCATTCCAGGAGAACCTTGCTGATGTAATCAACACAACAGGATATATATTTTAAGGCAGAAACTGGGAAGTTCCTTGATTTGTTAACCATTTGTCTGATATTAAGTTACATCTTTCATCAGGTTTTATAATAGCGAGGCATGCTGGGACATATGATTCTGGAGTATTGCACTTTCTCTAACTTTGATCTATCCTTAAAATGTGCTCACTGAGATCATGTCTTTACAGGTTCAGAGAGCCACCTCAGTTCTCCTGCTCTTGCTGCTGCTGTGCTCCTTTGCCGGGGCCAAACGAGCCTTGCCAGACTGTTGCTGGCAAAAAAGCTGTTCATGCCGCATCTTTGATCTGCTCCATGGGATGGGCAACCATGCCGCCGGCATCCTGACCATCGGCAAGCGTGGCAGTGCCATGACCACCAAGGGCTTCCAGAACCGCCTCTACCGCCTTTTGCATGGCTCAGAAAACCAGGCTGCTGGGATTCTCACAATGGGCAAGAGAGCGACGGGTCTCCCCTTGCCCCTCAATAAGAATGCACCCAGTATCTCCCACCCCGTATGCTGCAGAGCCTGACCCAGTCATGGGCTGCCTGACTCCCCGGAAGACCAGTGCCGTAAATCCCATTTACAAAGAAATCACAAATAAGGAAACCCTTTTCAAGAGTTTGCACGAGTCCTTCCTGCTTTCTCTCATCACTGCTGTTGGCTGCTATTTTACACCAGCCAGGTGCTAGGTGCTGTCCAAAGATAGCAGCCGTGCAGTTTGTTCATTTTGTAAATAGCTCTTTCATTTATCTGTCACCACATTCTCTTCCAAATAAAGCCTCTTGTGTTTAATAACTGCTTTGTCCAAAGATCTGTGTGAATTCAACCCAGAACGTTTGATGGATCAACCGAAAACCAGCTTTCTATGTCTCAAACTCTTTTATACAGAAAGCAGGATATACAAGACTAGAAATCGTTTTTCTCTCCTGCTGCTCAGAGCCACAACCACCTCTGAATAGGAAAGCTCATATTATCTTTCAATACTGAGAGAGATGCATTGCTGCCAATTGCCTATAAAGCTACCAAATAAACCTTCACCAAGCCAAACATCCAGGCAGGATTTCCTTGTTAATCACAAATGTTAACCCAGCATGAACAACCACCTCAATATCTACCAGCCGTAGTTCATGCTAAGGTTTTTAAAGCTATGTTAAAAGGGCAAATTGCAGTTATCTCTGTGCTCCCAAACTGTTTGAACTCTGCTGATCTATTTCTACAGTAACTGCTTCTGCCTAAGACTGCCTGACCAGGAGATCAGTTGCTTTTTTATGATTTCATGGGGTTGGCAGTTGTTGGCAGCCAGAGGGCAGTGTTGGCAAAGAAAGCTTGGCTACTCCAAATGTCTTTGTGTGCTAGATTCTTTTGTGTGCTGACAGATGTTTGATTGACCATCTCGGCAGTCTGATCTGGAATTTATAATTCAAACTATGTAAGAAATGGTTGTGGTTAATACAAAGTTGGTTCAAGAACACTTTTCTTATTTGGGGCTTTTTTGTTGTGCAGAATCCTAGCCCAAATGAAGCTAACTTTGATGTAATCTAAATAGTTCTGCTTTGAATGATAGAATAGCATAATAGAAGGTTCTTTTCTTTTTCACTTTTTACAAATTGAGCAATAGTTGGTTTCTAGCCAGCATTAAATACAGTTCAGCCCAATAGCATCCTCTATGCCGACAGCAGCCACCACAATCCCTAGATTCATTAGGGCAAGCAGTCAATTATATTGTTGTTGAATTGAACTATTGGCAGTTTGATACTGTATTTGCATGGGGTTCTCAACCAATTTGATAAGAGTCTTTGGACTAATTTAATGAAGGGAAGAAGGGAAACCCAAACCCAGAGGGATAGAGAGGAATGCAAATACTTGAAAAAGACACATTTGAAATAGGAAATCCTCTAAATGGTCAGTTTTGAGTTTTCCTAAAGGAGAATTAGATTTGGGTTAAAAAGAGATGCAGTGGTTGTGTTTAAACTGGGTTTAGGCTTCAGCATTCAGTGAGGCCCTCCTTCTATAGCATAAACCAATGACAAAGTCTGAATTTTCACACAACAAATAAAACCAAAATATTATGGAATGTGTATGTAAATATAACACGCCTGTGTAACATGTGTAACATACTGAGTTCCAGACTCCAATTTTAGAAAAAAGAAAAGAGAAACATTTCTTAGTTGTGGCACAATTTTGGTTGTGAAAATTCAGCACCAGAACTTATTATCCTTCTGTTTCCTGAAATTACAAGTAAGAATGGGACTTAACTTACATTCTTTGATTGGTGATGGGTGAGTATGTGGTTGTGATCACAGACCAAATAGGTCACATATAAACCTAAAAAGTATATTGTCACAACATGAAGTTTAACTTCTTTTTTTGGAAGTGTGTGAATTCAGCCCCTTGTTTTAGTTTATCTTGAAATCTCAGAAAAAGGATTTATTCAGTAGCCAGGTTAAGTCTACTATAGGTTCCATTGTTATACATGTGTCTCTTATTTCTATTTTACCGTAACACTTTCTCTGTTTTTTTCAAGAAAGAAGAAATCCTCTGGATTAATGATACCCGCTCTTTATAATTGCGAGTCAAGGCCATTCCGCCCAAGGTGTTTCCACGTTGTTTGCACGCTATGCACTGAACTAAGCGCTTGAGATGCCGCTCGTAGGAACCCGCGCGAGGTAGAGTAGGCGCTGAAATCTGGGCGGGATCCCTCTGGAGCCCTCCCCAGCCCTGTCGTCCGCGCCAGCCCGCTAATTGCACGGCTGGGATTAGAAGGGAGGGAAATGACAGCCGGGAGGGAGTGAGAGAGGCGGTGAGCTCCCAGGCAGCTGTTTCGCCTCGCCGTTCCCTTCGCGCCAGCTCAGTCGGGACATTGCGCGTCCTCCCCGCCCCATCTTGCGCTCCTTCTCCGCGGCTGCATTTGGACTCTCGCCGCTGGCCAGCGGACCCCGCGGGGGTAGCGGGGCGCCGATGGTGGTGCCCCCGCCGCGATGCCGGTGATGAAAGGCTTGCTAGCCCCACAGAATACCTTCTTGGACAACATCGCCAACAGGTTCGACGGGACACGTAAGTGACCTCTGGATCTCCCCTTCAGTGGGAAGAGAGCCCGTCGGCCAGGGTTGTATTTTGGAGGGTTGGCGGAAGAGCTCTGCGGCACCGCCCTGGTCCCTCACGGAGTTCGCTGGAGGTATCGGGGCAAACTCTTGGATTTCTCGTCCCCGTCCTTTCCTCCGCACCCAGATAGCTTCCTCTCCCTTCTCTCGCCGGCACGCCATCCTTACACTTGGTTGGAAAGTTAAAACTCCACTTGAGAAGGAAGGAGGCAGGCAGGTGGGGATGCGAGACCGCCTCACCTGAACGTTCCCCCGCCCCGTCTCTTTGAGCGCGGAGAGGAAAGAGATTTTTAGGATCATGGGGGGGATGTACGATGTATGTGCCCAACCCCAGGAACAATGACCGGCTCCCCGTGCCGTTTCTTCCCGCGCCCTCCCGTCCCGCTTTGTGCGCCGTCTCTTTCTGCGCCCGTTTCCCCCCCTCCTGATTCCCCGCTCCCGAGTTAACAAAGAACCGATAAACCCTCTTTGTCTTTATCCGAGCGGCAACCTGAGACACTCTCTCCCGTCCCTCCCCCATCCCGGGAAAAGGTCGATATTTTCGGGGGCGGGTATGTCTCAGCAGCTGTAGGAAAAATTTCTCCCTGGCCCCCAATTTTGGCTGTTCAGATGAACTGATGAACTCCTTCCTTCGGCTTTTCAGACTGGCATTTTTAGAAATCAAGCATTGAACACTAGGAGTTATTTACCTGCGCTCTTCTTTAAACTATGCGATATGTGAAAGAAGACCGAAATAATGGTTAAAAAAAAGTCTCTTTTAGACAACCCTAGTTTGGGGAGGGGAGAGGGAACATTTTAATTTTTTTCCCCCACCCCATGAGGAATCACTCCAAATCTGTCTTTCAGTAAAGCAGTTGAACCACTGGCTAACTTCCAAAATTCGGTGTAAAAAGGGAGCTGGTATATTCAGTCCAAAGTGGGATAAGCCATCTTATTGAGTTTGGGATGGAGTGAGGAATTCTGCCCCAAAATGTTGCTCTGAGGCCACTCCTACTCTTTTCAAACCCAGGAAATGTGGATCTGTGCAGGAGAGTGCCTCTGAGTATGTGCAAAGTAGCTTTTCTTTCCTGGTAGATGATGCAATCAATCCATCAACTAATGATGGAATTAAAAATACTTTCCCCCTCCTTCTCTGTCATTGCAATATGTTAGAGAGTAATTTCTCTTTGGGATGCGGGGAGGGGGGGAAGATAACGGGTTGGAGGCACGGACTGACGGACTGTTCACCTCTTTTTGATAAAGCACCTGGCACATAGGTTGTGAAACCACAGTCCAAAGCTGCAGAGGGAAGAGGGCAATCTGTCAATGAGGGAGCACAACTTGCACACATCGTTTGTTTTAAAAACTTTTCAACTTATTATTCTGTAATTTTTGACTCTAAAGAACTTTTTGTTCTTTGAATTTCAAGAGACTCTGATTTGGAGTTTCTAGTTGTTGTTAAGCATATCAAAATCTGTATCTAAACTCTGTCACATTTCACACTATAGTATTGCTGCACAATTCCTGCTAAAAGAAAGTGGCATAATGAGGATGCAGTAAGATATTATTAGATTTTGGTTTAATAGTGATATGGGATGTCATGTGTCAGATGGTGACGGACATTTTATTCACTTATTTACATTACTGGGGTAAGACTACACAGAGGAAAGTCGGTTGCTTCTTTTGCTGAGTGGGAGCAAACGAGGCTGGCCCTTATCAGCCTTTGCCTTGAGATATAGGTTTCTTTGAGGGACAGTGCCAAGCCCACAATAAGCCACCAGATATCTTGGCTGCAATACTGTAATGCCATCAAAACAGAATGTGGCAGATCCCATTCAGTGGAAGCATCAGGAGATTCCTCCCTCCCAAACCAGTGGTGGGATTCAAATAATGTAGCAATCAGTTCTCTGCCCTAATGATTTCTTCCAATAACCAATTCACCAAAGTGCTCAGAAAGTTAACTGGTTCTCCTGAAGTGGTGCAAACAGGCTGAATCCCAACACTGCCCCAAACAATATAATTTCAGAAGGGGCAATAGATTTAATTTACAAGGAAGTAGTTGGGCTGGACTTACTAGTTTATGGATGGAGCATTGAAAGATTGGGTTCTGCTTTTTTGTTTAAAAAAAGTTGATTGATAGAAAGATCCTCCCTCCTTCTCACTTTCATTTTTATTTTTTATTTATTTATACCCTGTGTTTATTATTTTTACAAATAACTCAAGATGGCAAACATATCCAAAACATCTCCCTCCTCCTAGTTTCCCCATATTAACAACTCTATAAGTAAGGCAGACTGGCATAAGAGAGAGAGAGTAACCAGTCCAAAATCACCCTCCTGGCTTTCATGCTAATGCAGGACTTGAACTCATGATCTCCTACTTTCTAGCCTGATGCCTTAAACACCGGACCATACTGGCATTCTATCAAGTACTTCCATCTTGATATTAGTATCAAATATTGGCAGGAATAGATAAGTGGAGAAACAAGCAAGGATTCAGCCAGTTTGCATCACTTCGGGAGAACCAGTTGTTAACTTTCTGAGCAGTTTGATGAACTGGTTGTTAGAAGAAATTATAGGGTAGAGAACAGGTTGTTAAATCATTTGAATCCCACCACTGGGAAATAAGGTCTATCAATGGAAACCACATGTTCATGAAATCCTTCCATCCCTCAAGAAAAATGATTTGCACCTGTTTTCCTGTCCTTGGTGGGACAAGTAACGATGCATATAATCTACTGATCAGGAATTGCCATCCATATAGAACATCAGTCCATGAAAATCTGAACCCTTTTTTTCTGATTCCAGATTGTCTAACCATTGCATGATTCTAGCTTTCAGGAAAAAATTAACTAATGGAACTTCCCAGAAATGTTGTGTGTAGTTAAAAGGCTGATTATGCATTCCAAAACCTCGGACCTCACTAACAAATACTTGGTACGTGAATTAAAGGTAGGAAATGGTACATGATACATTTTATATAGGATCCTTGGCATGAAGCTGCTTTCTCTTCCACTACAGTATCAATAAACCCCAGTGTATTTATTTATACATAATTATATCCAAGCAATTCCTATCGGACACTGTTTCCTGTGTCAGCCTCAGTCTTTCAATCCATGATTCAGTACATTATTATTTCTTAGAAAAATATTTTTAATGATGATAAGTGCACTAAACTTCTTTTTCCTTTTAGTCTAAATGAAAATAAGAATTATAAAACTCAATGGAACTCTTAAATGTATTTATGCTTGCTTGATTAGATTATACAATGCTGGCAAGTTCTTTTATAATTTTGATGATCCATGTTTAAATACCAGTGAATTATTTGGGCTACCCATATTTTCTATCTTCATGTTTAGGGATTATCTTTCTGAAAATGAAAACTAAACTTTTAAATTACTGTCCACAGTATGAAGATTACAGTTTACACTACAATTATTAGAATGGTTCATTAGAACTGTGTCATTAGAATTTAGACCTTCAATCTCTTAATAATATGTTGGTCCTTATTTTAGGCCAACATATTTGGGTTACAAATCTGGATCATATTCCTTGCATACCATCTAGTGGTGATCCAGATTTCTGTAGTCCAGATATAATACTTTAAGATGTCTTTAGTAACTAGAGTACAAACCCTTTATCATAACAGCACTTCTGGAATCAGCATGCTCTGGTTGAATTGTTTCCAGTTTTTCTTTTTCTCACACTATGTTTTCTAGATTTTATTTTCCAGGCAGTCCTGCAACTGTATTTCCCCCTTTTCTCCTGAAAATATATATCCAAAGTGATAAATTATTGACATCAATTAGTTTATTGTACTTGAACACAACCCCAAGAAAATGCTTATATGGAAAGGCTTGGTTAGATCAATGTATATCAAGTTTCATTAACTGAAACAATTTACCAAGACTCCATCCTTAAAAATTATCGGGAGAATTATACCTCCACTAAATAAGTAAACTTCTTATTCCATAAGTGGTATAAGAAGTAACATATCCAGGACATACAGAGTCTTTGCTCAGAGGGGGGAAAAGTGAAGTATAAATCTATAGCACCTTGCCTATATGCAAAGCTAATTTTTATTCACATTCATTAGCAGTAACACAGTCTGTATTTCTCTGTATTTCATGCAACATGAGGAATTATTAGGCAATCCCTGACATCAAAGACTGGTTTTACACTAAAATTAAGCTAAATTTAAAAAAAATAAACCATAGGTATAAAAATGTAAGGATTGAAATTACGTCATATGAAAGTTCTGCCTCATTATTCTAGATAAATTTGTGTGGGGTGTAGTAAATAAACTTAATTTTACATGCTCTATAAATGGTCTTCTTTTCTTATTTTATACCCATACATTCCTAGTTTTGGACATTGGTTTAAATTAAGTGTAGTTTAGTGTCTTTTCTCTCCCTTCCTTTCAACCTGCTTTGCCTAGGTGGAAAGATGGGAATAGAAAAGAAAGGTGTAGTAATCATGCATGGTTTAAAAGAAACAACTAAAATGCCATATTGTGGTTAGAGGATTTTCACTTAAGAGGATTCTGATGGTGTGGATTGGGCTGCGGTGTGAGGGGAGGATTTAAATGCTTTCAAAAAGATCAATGAAAACTAATTCAGCATTTTATTATGGAGACTAACTTGGAAATGCTTCTCTCAGCAAAGGTATCTGGATATCCTCACTCCTACCACCAAATCCTGCATTTTATCATAATCCATCTCTTTGTTCTTCACTAAACCCCAATAATCTGGTGCAAATAGGTGAAAAAGAGGTATTATAATTAAATTTTGTAGAAAAGCATGCACGTCATGGTAACATACCTAGAACTGGTCACAGATGTTTGGTCAAAAATGCACTGCACAATTAGGGAAATTCAGAGGAACCCAGATTCCTATCAAATAAGAAAATGAGAGCAAATATGTAAGCTGACATTGTCAGTGACTCTGTCTCAGTTCAACTTGGTTATTATGGAAAG